CTGGAGCACTGTTGGGCTGTGCTTTAGCTAGGGCAGACAGAGCCCATGCTCCCAGGCATCAGGTGGATTCTTCCTTGGCCGCTGACCCGCTGGATTTCTCCAGACAAAGGCTGCCGGGCCAGTGCTGTTCCTGCTCAGCTCCTGCTCCCTGCCCCCTCCCCCACACCAGGTGACGAGATGCGTGACCTGGAGATGGTGCCAGACTCCATGCTGCACTCAGCGTCTGACCGGCCAACTTTCATTGATCGCCTGGCGAACAGCCTGACCAAGCGCAAGCGTTCCACCCCTCAGAAGTTCGTAGGTAAGAGCGAAATCAGCTACAGCCCAAAGAAGTCTGAGCTCTGGTTCCAAGGCCAGAGATTTTGGTCTAGAGATTCGATTTAGGGAAAGAAAGCAGCTTGGAGGTGTCAGGAGCTTGGAATCTCCCCAGAAGAGGGGAAAAGTGAGCGGAGAAGCTCGCGGTTGAGGACCCGTATGGTAGTCAGAAGAGGTGGTCAGAGCGCCGGCTCTCCCCATTTATAAGAATGGCAAGGACTACAGTCTGTGTGGATCCCGACAGGAGCAAGGACCCTCCTCCAGGGAGGAGTAAACGTGGCTCCCCCATCTGAGGCTGGCGTTAGCTGAGGACCGGAGCTCCGTGGAGCCTGGTGAAGGAGGCATTCAGGGCATGGGTGGGCTGAGACTGAGTCCCCCGAGGTCAGAGCCTAGTCAGGGAGCAGGCACATAGAGGACTTAGCCTCAGGGAAAACAAATGACGTATATGGGCTGGCAATTTAGCTCAGCAGCCTAAGCGCCTGCCTGGCAAGCGTGAGGTCCTGAGTTCAATTCCCAGTACCAAAAAAAAATTAAATGAATAAAACAAAGGAAATATAGTATAGTAAGTAATGTTAGGAAAGGCAGGAGTGTATCTCAGTGTAGAGGCTGCACTTAGCATATGTGAGGCCTTGGGTTCAGTCTCCAGCACCAATAATAATCACGCACAGGCGTGGTGGTGCCCACATATAATCCCAGTACTTGGGAAGCTGAGGCAACAGGATTCCTGCGAATTTGAAGCCTAAACTACAAGGTAAGTTTAAGACCAGCCTAAGCTGCATAGCAAATGCCTTAAATAATAACAATAACAATAATACCAGGCCAGGGATATAGCTCAGTGGCATAAGTGCCTGCCTGGCAAGCACAAGGTCCTGAGTTCGATTTCCAGTAATAAACAAACAGTAATATCAGGCACAGTGGCACATGCTTGTAATCCCAGTAACTTGGGAGGCTGAGGCAGGAGGCTGGCCAGTTTGAGGCCAACCTGGCAACTTAATAAGATCCTGTCTCAAAATAAAATAATAATAACAATGATACAGCCAATAGAATGTAGGAGAATTAACAGTTCTTCATACCCAGTCCTGCTGAGACCGCCTTCTCCACAGGTGAAAAGCAGATGCGCTTCAGCCTGTCGGACCTCCCCTATGATGTGAACTCGGGCGGCTACGAGAAGGATGTGGAGCTGGTGGCGCACCACGGCCTGGAGCCTGGCTTTGGAGGGTCTCTGGCCTTTGTGGGTGCAGAGCACCTGCGTCCCCTCCGCCTTCCACCTACCAACTGCATCTCAGAACTCACGCCTGTCATCAGTTCTGTCTACACCCAGATGCAGCCCCTCCCTGGCCGCCTGGACCTTCCAGGGTCCCGAGAAGCAGGTGAAGGACCCGAGGACCTGGGGGACGGAGGGCCCCTCCTCTATCGAGCCCGAGGCTCCCTGACTGACCCAGGGGCCTCCCCCAGCAACGGCTGCCAGGACTCCACAGACACAGAGAGCAACCATGAAGACCGGGTTGGGGGGGTGGTGTCCCTCCCTCAGGGTCCCCCACCCCAGCCACCCCCCACCATCGTGGTGGGCCGGCACAGTCCTGCCTATGCCAAAGAGGACCCCAAGCCACAGGAGGGGTTACTGCGGGGCACCCCGGGCCCCTCCAAGGAAGTGCTCCGAGTGGTGGGCGAGAGCGGAGAGCCGGTGAAAGCCTTCAAATGTGAACACTGCCGCATCCTCTTCCTGGACCATGTCATGTTCACCATCCACATGGGCTGCCATGGCTTCAGAGACCCTTTTGAGTGCAACATCTGTGGTTACCACAGCCAAGACCGGTACGAATTCTCTTCCCACATTGTCCGGGGGGAGCATAAGGTGGGCTAGTGACCTCTGTCCCTGCCCGTAGTCTGCCACTCCGCTGCCCCCCAGGTGTCCAGCTCTGTCCCACCACACCCCAAGGGGTTCTTCCCCAGAGCCCTCGCCCTGGCCGCCTGACCTCACACGGACCCCGGCCCTCCTCGCCCTTGCCCTCCTGCTGCCCGACCCCTCCGGTGTCGCGATGAGACAGGCCTTCCTTCTCCTCGGCTCCGCCCGCGCCCTGAGTTACGTGCTAGTTGCCTGTGTTTGCCTTTTTCACCTGCAGCCGCCCCGCCCGTCCCCTCCCGCTCCTCCCTCGGCTCCTCCGCTAGGCCTAATTTTTTTCCTGGTCCATCCTGCATCCTCTAACAGCCCCAGGGATCAGAAGCTCCTCTCCAAAGGAAGAGACTCTGCGCTTCTCGCTTTAACCCTTGCCATTTACTTTATGCGCGTCTCCAGTTTCCATGCTGGGACCTCCCGTAGCCCCGCCGCCCGCTCTGGGACCCCTCAGCCCGCCACTCTCCCTACCTCCCGCGCCCTCGCGCTGCAGGCAGCTTGCACTATTCTCGAACGAAGCATTTCCTCTCTGGAGACAGGAGGAGCTGGAGGCATTCTCCCTAGGCCCTGTGGCACTGAGGGTCTTCCCGAGCTCCCCAAAGCTACCCTAGGGTCTCCCTGTAGGCCGCGGTGCAGCTCCCCCCGCCCCCATCAGCACTCTAGTCCGGCCGGCCGCGGGCTCGGCGGCGGCTGTCCTCTCCTCGGAGTGCCCCATTTTATATTCTCGGGGGCCCCGGCTATTTCTGCAGCCGTCTGTCTCCGACACACGGGGAGCCTCAGGTGCCTAAGAGCCAGGGCCCGGGCAGGCGTGGATAGCACCCCGCTGCGCTCCCGCCTTCTGCGCTCCGGTGACCTTCCCGGGCTCGCGGCGCCTCCAGTCCCTGCCCCGCGACAAGCCGGGCTCCTGCCTGGGCGAGGGTCTCTCGGCCCCGTCCTCCTGCCGCCTTCTTCCTCCCGTCCCGGCCGGAGCCGCCGTTCCCGGACCACGGGCCCTGTCCTTGCCACCCGCGGCAGGAAGAGAAGGGTGCGTCTTCTCAGTGCAACCAAAAACCCTCCCGGGATGAGCCAGGCTCGTGCGCCCCGCCGCCCCTCCCGGGCCGCCGCTCGCCGCAGCTTCCCTGGGGACCCCTCGGCTGCGCGGGGCAGGCGGCCCTCCGCAGAGCTCCCTGCCGCGGCCGCCGCCGCCCGGCTCTCTGCTTCCTTGAGATTCAAACCAAAGGCTGTTTTTCTATGTTTAACGGAAAAAAAGTGAAAACCAAACATAACACCTCACGAGTTACAACTCTCGGTCCTCCCCCTCCCCTTCCAGCTCGCTCCGCGTCCTCTCCTGCTGGCGCGCGGGCCTCTCCTACTTCCTCCTCCCGGTCGGTCGGGGGTGTCTGGGGGCAACGGGGAAGCGGGGTGAGGGTCGGAGCCTGGGGCTGGGCTCTCCGGGGTTCCGGAAGAGTCTCCCTTACCCCGCCGGGAAGGGACAGCACTCCTCCTCCTCCACCTTCTCCTCCCGTTACGTGGTTTCCCCAGAGAACCAGGCGGGCGGGCAGAGCCCTCTCGGGTGACTGCTCCTCCCTGACAATGTAGCAATAAACAGGCTGCGCGCTGCCAGGGGCAGAGCACGCGGGGGTGAACTCAGAGGAGAGCGGCCCTGAGGACGGAGGGGTCTGCTCGACGGCAGCGCAGCCGAGGTTAACATCTGGCTGCTCCTGAACTGCTCTGGTTCCTGAGCCCGCTCCCAGACCTTCCCCTCCCACTCTGTGTCTGCTGTGTATTCCATGATACCTCATGAGGACTAGTCCCCCTTGTGGGGTATCAGAGCCTTAGGGTGCCCCATCCCCTCCTCTAGTCAGCCTTGGCACCTGCCACCTCCCGAACATGAAGGACTGTGCCCTGAGGCAGCTCCGTGCCCGCGAGAGCAGAGGCTGGAAGGGCAAGACCGGGTGCTAGGGAGGAGAGGGGGGCGTCCTGCCTCGCTCCAGACCACCACTGCACTTTAACCAGGGTCTTAGGTACAAAATCCCACTTTTCAGAGCCTTCCAGCTCTGGAACCTCAAACATCCTTATGCTCTCTCCCAGCTCCTTTTGCATAAAAAGAAAAAAGAAAAAAAACCACACACACACACACACACACACACACACACACACACACACACACACTGAAACCCATGTGGAGAAAAGAGGTGTTTCCTTTTATATTGCTATTGAAAACCAACATCACACAAAAAATAAATAAAAAAAGAATTTCTAAAAAAACACTTTTCCAGACGTTTTGTTTTTGTGTGTGTGTCAGTGTCCAAGCTGCGGGTGGGATTTTGTAATACTTCTGGCAGCTTCTTTCCTTGTGTACATAATATATATACATAGATATATTTTTAATCAGAAGTTATGAAGAACAAAAAAAAAAGAGACAGAACACAGAAGCAAGTGCAATACCACCTCTCTTCTTCCTCTCCCAGGGTTTCCTCTGTAGCCTGTTCCGTGTTTCCTTTGGCCCTGGCCCCCTCACCTCCCCTCTTTCCCTGGTCCCCCCCTCCCTGTTTTTTTAAGAGTTTTTCTCCTATCTTAAGGGGAGTTAAACTAGCTTTTGAGACTTACTGCAAAGCATTTTGTATATGTAATATATTGTAAGTAAATATTTGTGTAATGGAGATATACTACTGTAAGTTTTGTACTGTATTGGCTGAAGGTCTGTTATAAATAAACATGAGTAATTTAACACGGCTGGTTGTTTTTGCAGACTTCCTTTGCTTAGCTTTTCTACTGAGAGGGAGGAGGGCCTCCTTGCGGCATGTCACACCGACTAATCAGGGCAGGAGGTAAACAAGTGCAAGGCAGAGGAAACCAGACACGTGTGCTCAGGCTGTTGGTGCAAAAGAACAGGATATTCGGCCTAGAGTGGAAAGGAGAGACTTTGCTAGTAGGAGTGTCTTCGGGATCAGGGAGAAAGCTGACTTGCCTATCTATCCACAGAAGAACTGTCAGCAAATGTGTGTGTGTGTGTGTGGTACTAAGAATTGAACCCAGGGCCTGGTTCATGCTAAGCAAGTGCTCTACCACTCAGCCATGCTCTAAGGCCCAAACTTTTATTGAGTACCTACTATGTTCAAAACACATTGCCCAGGGAGATACAAGTTATGGAAACAGGAGTGATGATGACAGAATCTACCACTTGAGCATCTCAGAGATGCCAAGTACTGTACCATGTCTTCCTTTAATTGATAATTCCTTGAAGAATGATAATGATAATTGTTGGTAAAGAAAACTCCAAGGGATAAAGTAACTTGTCCAAAACCCATCAGTAAGCAATGGAGCCAGAATTTGAATGTATGACTAAAAGCCTGCCCATCCCTTTATACCAAGACAAAGCAGTGAAACTCCCCTATGAAAGCTATAAAAATTAAAATAAAATAAAATAGCAAGCTGGGCATGGTGACCCATGCCTGTAATCCCAGCACTCAGGAATCTGAGGCAGGAGGATCGTTGTGAGTGAGACCAGCCTGGGACAAAGTGAGCTCAAGGCCAGCCTGAACTGCAGAGTGAGACCCTGTCTCAAAAAGACAAAAAAAAAAAAAAAAATTAAAGAAAATAGACTACACCAGTGTACTTATGTCATGAAGGTATTATTTCACGAACCTTGTATTTTTTTTAATCTTTTTGAGACAGGGTCTCACTAAGCAGTTTAGACTAGCCTTGAGCTCACTTTGTAGCCCAGGCTGGTCTCAAACTCTCAACAATCTTCCTGTCTCAGCCTCCCAAATGATGGGATTACAGGCAGGTTCCACCATGCCCGGTTTGTATTTTAGTTTACATATATGCATACTGGTGTTAACGTATGTATTCAGTACCAATGTAATGTGTATTTCTATGTATCTGGGTCAAAATTATTTCAAATCACTGGCCCAGGCTATACCTACATCCATTTGTTGGCCAGGTGAGAAATAGCAGATTATAAGAACACCTCTTACTAGCTTGAGGTAACCTTGAACAAGTAATTTATCAACTCTACACCTCAGTTTTTCAACTTGTTTTATTCTTCTGGCACTGGGGATTGAACCCAGATCTCACGGGTTCACTCATGCTAGGCAAGTGCTTTACCACTGAGCTGCATCCCCACCTCTTTTTATTTTCTCGTGTTTATTTATTTTATACTGGGGATTGGACAGGCGTGGTGACACATGCCTGTAATCCCAGCATTTGGGAGGCTGAGGCAGGAGGATCGTTGTGAGCGAGACCAGTCTGGGCTACAAAGTGAGCTCAAGGCCAGCCTGCATTGCATAGTGAGACTCTGTCTCAAAAAGACAAAACAAACGAACAAACAAACAAAAAAAACCAAAAAAACAAACAAAAAAGTCCATTCCTCTTGCCATGGTCTCCCAAGTACTGAGATTCCTCAGACACTTTTAAAATTGTATTATTTTTTACACTTTTTTTATTATTTAGTGCTGGGGAAGGACTGAACTGCAGCACTAGCTCATTTTTGAGACAGGTTTTCACTAACTCACTAAATTGCTTAAGCTTGGTGGAAATTCTGGTCCTCCTGCCTCAGCCTCTCACAGAGCTGGAATTATGAGAGTGCACTGCCAGAGCTGGCCTAAATTTTATCTTTGAAAACAAGGTCTTGCTTTATTGTCCCTGTGGGCCTCGAAATTGACATCCTCCTATCTTAGCCTTGGGATACCTGGGATTACAGGTGTCATGCCTGGCATTTTCTCAGTCGTTTTTTATTTTGTTTTTTTGAGACAGGGTCTCGATATGTAGTTCAGACTGGCCTCAAACTCACAGCAATACCCCTGCCGCAGCCTCCTGAGTGTTGGGATTACAGGCATGAACCAGCACGCCTCACTTTTTCAATCTTTAAAATGAGGATAATAATAGTACCTACCTTATAGGCTTGTGTTTGGTTGGTTGTTTTTTGGGTATTGTTCTTTGTTTTTTTGAAACAGGGTCTTGCCATGTAGTTCAGGCTGGCCTTGGACTATGTAGCCCAAGCTGCCCTAGAACTCACAATGATCCTGCTGCCTTCCGAGTGCTGGAATTACAGGAATGTGCCCGACTTCCTTATAGGCTTGGTTTTTTTGGTTTGTTTTTGTTTTGTTTTTTTTTTTGTTTTGTTTTTTCCCGGTATCGGGAATCAAACTCACGACCTCGCGCTTGCCAGGCAGGCGCAGTGCCGCTGAGCTAAATCCCCAGCCCTAGGCTTGTTAAAGGTTGAACGAGTTACTATTCATAAAGCGCCACCGCAGTGCCCAGAACTGGCAAGATTCTCAGATTTAAAAGGTGGATAAGAAACAGTTGCAGCACCAGTGCACTTATCCATTCCCAGTCTTTATGGGCTTTTATCCATACTTGAAGCTGGACTTCACAAAATGTTTCGTTTCCCAGGTCTTCCACTTCGTAATCCTAAACCTGTTCAACAGGATTGTCAGAGAAACACAGCGCAGACAACCTCCGCCGAAGCCACGTAGCACTGACTTTTAAGGACGAAGGGCCAGGGAGCCTCTAAATTCCGTACTACTACTCCCATCATGCACCGCGCCCCTCAGCCTCTAATAGGGTCTGCGCATCGTGGCCTAGCGCGGGTCTAAATCCACACCCGCCGACACATAAACCGGAAGTTATACCGCCCAGAATTACTTCCGGGCTACGGTGTCGCGTTCTTCTCCAAAACTCCATATTGTAGTTTTCTTCCGCCAATAGAATAAATAGTCCCACAGATACTCTGCGTCACGAATAAATTTTAGGAACCTTTACACCCTACATTTCAATGGAAACGTTAAATAATCGTGAAAATTTGAGGAAGTTGACTTTTCGTTCTCGATTCCCGTCTTCTAAGTGCTTTTCCTGTGAGTGCGTAGGGATCTCGTGCTATATAAGAGGGCCCGGCCGAGCGCCGGGTCCTCTTTCGGGTCCTCCTTTCCAAGATGGTGAGTTGTGGCGCGTGGTGATCGTGGGGATCCGGGTAAAGGCTGGAAATCCTGAGCTCGTGAGGATTCAGAACTCGGCCACGGTTCGCGAGAGGACGAGGTGCATCTGTAGCCCAAGAGAATCCGGCGATCTGACGGGTGCTGCCGGGGGGGATGCAGCCGGAAAGGGGCTGGAGCTAGTTCAGTCGCGCCGCTAATGGGATGTTTTATTTTACTGCAGACGAAAAAGAGAAGGAACAACGGTCGTGCCAAGAAGGGCCGCGGTCATGTGCAGCCTATCCGCTGCACGAACTGCGCCCGCTGCGTACCCAAGGATAAGGCCATTAAGAAGTTTGTCATTCGGAACATAGTGGAGGCCGCCGCCGTCAGGGACATCTCCGAAGCGAGCGTCTTCGACGGTAAGTGCCCCCGGCGCGCAGTGCGAGGACCCCCCGCCGCAGCCCTGTGTGGGCTGTGCCCTTGCCTGGGGTGTCCGCGGAGCGGTTGTTGTTCAAAGAGGTGGTACGTTTTCTCTCTCTCTCATTTTGAGCTTGGGGCAGAGTGAGTGTTTGTGACTAATAGCGTGCAAGTTTTAGTCTCACTTCCGAGCCTGCGTGATTGCTTGTTTGGAGGATAGAATTTCAGAAACACTTTTATTAGAGGTGCGAAACCGGTTAATGTAACAGTTTTTTAATTAGGGAGGCCAGTCTAGCCGGGCGTGGTGGCGCACACCTGTAATCCCAGCACTTGGGAGGCTGAGGCAGGAGGATCGTTGCGAGTTCGAGACCAGCCTGGGCTACAGACTGAGCTCAAAGCCGGCCTGAACTGCATAGCGAGACCCTGTCTAGAAAAGACAAAAAATTAAGAGAAGTAGTGCAAAGTGGATGTATAGAAAAGGGTGGTATACAAATAACTAATATTGGGGGCTGGGGATTTAGCTCAGCGGCACAGCGCCTGCCTAGCAAGCGCATGGTTTTGAGTTCGATTCCCGATATCGGAAAAAAATAAATAAATAAAATAACTAATATTTATTTGTCAGGTTATGTGCTTCCCAAGCTGTATGTGAAGCTGCACTACTGTGTGAGTTGTGCCATTCACAGCAAAGTGGTCAGGAATCGATCTCGAGAAGCCCGCAAGGACCGAACCCCTCCGCCCCGCTTTAGACCTGCTGTGAGTATTTTATGTATTTGGGTGGTTGGTCTTTTGAGACTTGCTGTGGAGCCCAGACTTGGCCTTGAACGCACTGCTGTTCTTCTGCAGCAGTTTTTAAAGTGCTGGGATTATAGGCATGCGCCACCCCACCTACTTCTGTGTAGTAAAAGGCTGTGGAAGCCAAGAGGGGTGGCAGTAAAAAGATAAATTGGAGCCAGAGAAATATTAAATTAAGGTTTTGGGTTGGGAAGGCAAATGAGCCCCACACCTAAATGCTTGCCGAGAGACACTTGGAGGGCTTATTAGAAGCCATGCCCACTGTTCCATGCCCATAATCCAGCTACTCAGGAAGCTGAGGCAGGTGAATCAGAAATTTGAGGCCAGGTTAAGTGTTGGGCAGGGTGGTGGCCACGTTGCTTTAGAGGATGGGAGTGTGACCAGTTTGTTGGCAGCGGGCTGTGCTGCCATGCCTGGGCGACAGGGTCCTGCTGAGTTTCCCAGGCCACTCAGGTTTGTGACCCTGCTGCCTCAGGTTCCCAAGGAGCTGGATCTGTAGTTCTTAATGTGTCGTGTCTTTGTCATTCAGGGTGCCGCCCCACGACCTCCACCAAAGCCCATGTAAGCAGCTGGGTCTCCATGGGCTGAAGAGTGCCGGCTTTGGCAGCGCGTATATTAGTAAACTGAAGAAAAGCATCTCTTGGGAAAGAAATAATAAAGTGGATGTTACACTTTAT